TCCATTTGATAGTTATATAGTGGGAACACCCAGAGTATGCTGCTACACTATCCTAAATGACAGATACACTGTAGGAAACACCCACAGCATGCTGCTATACTCTTCTAGATGGTAGTTACATAGTGGGAACGCGCACAGTGTGCAGCTTCCCTACTTTATGTGATACATACTCTCATACACCATCACACAGGGTGACTTTCATACAAGAGGTAATGAAACATGTCAGCCTGAGCAGGGAGACTTCTGCAGTGTCAGCCTGAGCAGGGAGACTTCTGCAGTGTCAGCCTGAGCAGGGAGACTTCTGCAGTGTCAGCCTGAGCAGGGAGACTTCTGCAGTGTCAGCCTGAGCAGGGAGACTTCTGCAGTGTCAGCCTGAGCAGGGAGACTTCTGCAGTGTCAGCCTGAGCAGGGAGACTTCTGTAGTGTCAGCCTGAGCAGGGAGACTTCTGTAGTGTCAGCCTGAGCAGGGAGACTTCTGTAGTGTCAGCCTGAGCAGGGAGACTTCTGCAGTGTCAGCCTGAGCAGGGAGACTTCTGCAGTGTCAGCCTGAGCAGGGAGACTTCTGTAGTGTCAGCCTGAGCAGGGAGACTTCTGCAGTGTCAGCCTGAGCAGGGAGACTTCTGTAGTGTCAGCCTGAGCAGGGAGACTTCTGCAGTGTCAGCCTGAGCAGGGAGACTTCTGTGGTGTAAGCCTGAGCAGGGAGACTTCTGCAGTGTCAGCCTGAGCAGGGAGACTTCTGCAGTGTCAGCCTGAGCAGGGAGACTTCTGCAGTGTCAGTCTGAGCAGGGAGACTTCTGCAGTGTCAGTCTGAGCAGGGAGACTTCTGTAGTGTCAGCCTGAGCAGGGAGACTTCTGCAGTGTCAGCCTGAGCAGGGAGACTTCTGTAGTGTCAGCCTGAGCAGGGAGACTTCTGTAGTGTCAGCCTGAGCAGGGAGACTTCTGTAGTGTCAGCCTGAGCAGGGAGACTTCTGCAGTGTCAGCCTGAGCAGGGAGACTTCTGCAGTGTCAGCCTGAGCAGGGAGACTTCTGCAGTGTCAGCCTGAGCAGGGAGACTTCTGCAGTGTCAGCCTGAGCAGGGAGACTTCTGTAGTGTCAGCCTGAGCAGGGAGACTTCTGTAGTGTCAGCCTGAGCAGGGAGACTTCTGCAGTGTCAGCCTGAGCAGGGAGACTTCTGCAGTGTCAGCCTGAGCAGGGAGACTTCTGCAGTGTCAGCCTGAGCAGGGAGACTTCTGTAGTGTCAGCCTGAGCAGGGAGACTTCTGTAGTGTCAGCCTGAGCAGGGAGACTTCTGCAGTGTCAGCCTGAGCAGGGAGACTTCTGTAGTGTCAGCCTGAGCAGGGAGACTTCTGCAGTGTCAGCCTGAGCAGGGAGACTTCTGCAGTGTCAGCCTGAGCAGGGAGACTTCTGTAGTGTCAGCCTGAGCAGGGAGACTTCTGCAGTGTCAGCCTGAGCAGGGAGACTTCTGTAGTGTCAGCCTGAGCAGGGAGACTTCTGCAGTGTCAGCCTGAGCAGGGAGACTTCTGTAGTGTCAGCCTGAGCAGGGAGACTTCTGTAGTGTCAGCCTGAGCAGGGAGACTTCTATAGTGTCAGCCTGAGCAGGGAGACTTCTGCAGTGTCAGCCTGAGCAGGGAGACTTCTGTAGTGTCAGCCTGAGCAGGGAGACTTCTGCAGTGTCAGCCTGAGCAGGGAGACTTCTGTAGTGTCAGCCTGAGCAGGGAGACTTCTGTGGTGTAAGCCTGAGCAGGGAGACTTCTGTGGTGTAAGCCTGAGCAGGGAGACTTCTGCAGTGTCAGCCTGAGCAGGGAGACTTCTGTGGTGTCAGCCTGAGCAGGGAGAATTCTGTAGTGTCAGCCTGAGCAGGGAGACTTCTGCAGTGTCAGCCTGAGCAGGGAGACTTCTGTGGTGTCAGCCTGAGCAGGGAGAATTCTGTAGTGTCAGCCTGAGCAGGGAGACTTCTGTAGTGTCAGCCTGAGCAGGGAGACTTCTAGTGTCAGCCAGAACTGGGAAACTTCAGTAGTGTCAGCTTCAACTGGTTTCCTTCCAGCAGAACTGGAATTACTATCACTTAGGTATGAGCACGACATAGGTAACAAAAAGGGAGTCTGAAATATGGCAAGGGAGGAAAGAAACGAGAATAGGGAGTCTGGAAGATATGGTAGAGAGGGCGAGGAGGGTGTTTGAGAAAGGGAGGATATTGATTGTGCCGGGGAAGGAGAGTGTTTGAAAGAGAAGGAATTAGAGAGGGAGGTTATTGATTTAGGACGATAAAGAAGGGAAGGAGGGAGAATAGGTAAGAAAATGGACAAAAAGGCTGAGAAGGTATGGAGGGGAAACCAACGTGAAAATCTGAAGAGAACTTGAAGAATCTGAAGAGAAATTTTAGAATCTGAAGAGAAATTGTAGAATCTGAAGAGAAATTGAAGGATCTGAAGAGAAATTGAAGAATCTGGAGAGAAATTGTAGAATCTGAAGAGAAATTGAAGGATCTGAAGAGAAATTTAAGAATCTGAAGAGAAATTGAAGAATCTGAAGAGAAATTGAAGGATCTGAAGAGAAATTGAAGAATCTGAAGAGAAATTGAAGAATCTGAAGAGAAATTGAAGAATCTGAAGAGAAATTGAAGAATCTGAAGAGAAATTGAAGAATCTGAAGAGAAATTGAAGGATCTGAAGAGAAATTGAAGAATCTGAAGAGAAATTGAAGAATCTGAAGAGACAGTTAAATATTTGAAGGGAAACTCTGAAAAGAAAGTGAAAATCTAAATAAAATTCGAAAATCTGAAGAGAAAGATAAAATCCGAACAGAAAGTGATTTTTTTTAATAGTTGATCTTATAGGTACATAAAAACTTTTTCTCGTACATATTTTAGAAACATTTGAACTTATTAAAAATGAACAAATTTAATTTATATCTGAACAAAAACACAGGATAGCTGAACGAGAACATAAGTGAACAAGAACAAATAAGGACAGACTGATGAACAAATAACTGAGCAAGCACAGTTGATAACTGAACAAGAACAGTTAATAACTGAACACGAACAATAAATAACTGAACAAGAACAGTTGATAAAAGGGATGACAATGCAAAAAAGGAACATCTTAAAATTATTGTGATTAAATCGGATTGTTCACTTGTGTTCACCATTGAACATTTCTGTTCACAAGGTATTCACTTTGAGAACAGAGAAAAGAAAATAGATTTAGTGTGAATACGGCCAAGACTCTTACCAGTGTGGAGAGCCGTGACCTGGAAGCCGGCACTGGTCGCCAGCACCAGCGTCACCATGAAGACCATCCTCGTCTCCAGGACACCGGGTCCTCGCCTCTGTCTCCCAGATCCTCGACCCGGGTCCTCACACCTTCCTTCCTGGTCACCAGGGGGTCTTAACCTGGTGTCCTCACCAGGTCGTCCAGCTTCCACCTCTCCAGGTCTTGGTCTCGTTTCTCCAGGTTCTGGTCTCATTTCTTCTGGTCCTGGCTTCATTTTCAAGCCCCCAGGTCACCAGGTCGGTGCGGGTCTCATCTGGAACTCACGATCCAGGTCGCTCAGGCTTAGTATGAAACTCTAACTCTGATTATTATTTACCACAAGTGTTTTCACTCACTCCACAAATTTCTGGAGCGTCATTTTCGACCAAGGGAAGAGGGGGGGATGTGAAGAGGAGGGGGAAGGGGGAGGGGACAACTGAAAATCGAGGGAGGGGAAGGGGGTAATAGAGAGAACCTGGAATTGGCCAATATTGCTTTTCTGTCTTTCAAGCTGCGAAAATAACCTTTAATTTGCCGCTGTTGACTGTAAACAACCTCATTTATATCCTCAAAGTCAGGATTGTGAACTGGAACGAAGAAACTTTAACCATTTCACTTTTTTTTTTGGCTTTCACACGATGGCTTTCAGAAAATTAAATAGTACCAGAAAGATTTTTTCTTTTTACTCTTCGCGTCACTCAGCTAAAAAAAAAAATATAGGGCGTTTGATACTATGGTTTATCTACTAGAAGGTATTTCAAACTAGAAGTGGTATCGAAGTCATTACTGTTTACACTTTCTTCCTGGAGTCACTCGTATAAAGGTCAAAGAGATGCCTCTTCGATATACAATAAGCCTCTTTACGTTTGCAAAAAATGTTGCCTGGAAAGATAAAATTACTTCCTTTTCGTCTGTCCAGCAACATTCGTAAGTTTCCTTGTATAATATACGATTATAAAGTAACACTTTTCACGGACATGGAAGCACCATTATTTACACTTAAAATTCCAGCGATTGGCACAATTTACGTCCCCCTTTTTTTCACAGATTCCTGGAAAACATTTCTATTTACACTTGGAATTCCAGGCGGATTGTCTGGCGAGAGATTTATGTTTCTTCTTAGCTGGAAGCTGGAAGCACAACCATTTAAACTTTCTCCGCCAACCAGCAGATGGATCAGTTCTGATAGTTGGAGACGTGTGAAGTGTACCAGCTCGGAGTCTGGAAGAGGCAGACTTTCCAGGATATTTGTTTGGTCTTTCAGGACAGTCTTCAAGCGTCGGCCTGGGAGAGTCGGAATCTCATGTAGGTTCTTCACAGGGTCTTCAAGCTCATGGAGACTGGTTTGGCCTTCCAGAAAAGGGTCTGGAATAAGAGATTCTCATGTTGACTTGTTAGGTCTTCCAGAAAAAGGTCTGAAAGAGGAGATTGTCATGTAGACTTGCTTGGTCTTCCAAAAAAAGGGTCTGGAAGAGTCAAAATCTCTTGAGGATTTGAACTTTCTTGCAACACAGGGCGTTCAAGCGTTTTTAAGTCAAGAAACAGCAGGTGCCGTTCTAGAAAAGGTAGTCTTCTCAGAAGATATATTGCGTGTTCCAGTAAGATGCTCAAAACTGTTGCCTGGAAGAGGTAGAATCTACGGCAGATGTTGCAAGTGCTCGTCAGGAAAGAAAAACAGATCTTGCATTTAAAGCAAGATTTATGTCTCGTTGGAAAGATATATGCAGGAGATGTTGATAATCCACACACTCTGAAAAGATGGGAGATAAGAACTCATTAGTGTTGATGGAAAATGAAAAGATTACCAGCTCGCTCTCTCTTTCTCTTCCTCCCATAAAGAAGAAAATCTAAATTAGAAAACACGCGCAAAAACTAGAATATTATGAAATGTAGTTTTTTAAGAGCCTACAAATCCTGAAATAAAAAAATCCTAACCTGAATTCTGTAAATGTTTTACGAAAATTTTCACCTGTTAATCCTTCGTCTAAATAATTAATAAAATTAACAAACTAAATTTTCAGTACATAAATATGTAAATAAGATTTTCATAAAAATAATTAACTTAAAAATGGATATTGTATGTTTATATTTGAAGTTTAGGGAAAAAACTGGTGTATTTTGGGATTTTTTTTTTTTGTCTTGGGAAGACTTGTAGGGAGGAATGGTTCACTGGAGGTGGCCACACACCTGTGCCACACACCTGTGCCATACCTGTGCCACCCCCCTGTGGCACACCTGCAATATACCTGTGACCGGTGTCGCCAGGTTGACTCTCATAGTTGGACCAACTTCCCCAACCCGATTGATTTACGTGGGGAAGTCCCAGCGTTGTGCTCCCCTCCCCCATCACCCCCTTCCTTCCCTCTCCCCCTCCCCTTGTCCCTTTCTCATCCCTATCTTCTCTTACCTTATTCCCCTCTTCCCTCTTCCCCCCACCATCCATACTACCACCTTCTTGAGTTTTCCTACTCTCCAGCCCTGGGCTAGGCTTGTCCTGTACTTTCCTGGTCAACCATACTGTTGCTGCTGGTGGCCTGCTGGCCAGGTTTCAGACATCTCTCAGATTAGAAAGGATTAAAATCTCTTAAAAAAAAATACCCAGGAGAGTAAAAAAAAAAAAAGCTTAAGTGCCAGTAAAGCGATGTTTGGAGGAATTTTCTGCCGCCTTAAGTGTTCATGAGACGGAAACGAAAGTCCTGCCAGAGTGCAAAACGTTTAACATGCTTCTGTTTCAAACACACGTGATAGGATGAAAGTATTTCATACGTCGCGTTTTCTACTTTTTTTAAATTACATTATAAAATATACATTCTGCCTTAGTGTCAACGTCGCCCTTAGTACTTTTTAATAATAATAATAATAATAATAATAATAATAATAATAATAATAATAATAATAATAATGTCTTTAAAGATGGACTGATTAAAAATGGGGTGAATTCTAAAGGATAATATGTAGTGTCTTCCTACTGATGTATGTTACGGAGCTTCAGGTGTGGGATGACAAGGGAAGGTACGGAAGCAGGTCCAGTGATGGTGTGGTTTAATGGCAGTGTGTGGACACCCCAGCCATACAGGTGATTGTTGTTTAATCACGTTAAAGGCGTAGTTGTGGTGGTGGTAGTAGTGGTGGTAGTGGTGGTGGTGGTAGTGGTGGTGGTAGTGGTGGTGGTAGTGATGGTGTTGGTGGTGGTGGTGGTAATAGCGGGAGAGGTTGTGATGGTTGTTGTTGCTGCTGTTGTAGTGGTGGTAGTTTATACACTCATGGTGGTGCAACATCGTAAGCAGTATCATCAAAGGCAGCAGGAACAGCAGCAGCAGCAGCAGGACCAGCAGCAGCAGCAGCAGCAGCAGGACCAGCAGCAGCAGCAGCAGCAGGACCAGCAGCAGCAGCAGCAGCAGCAGCAGCAGCAGCAGCAGCAGGACCAGCAGCAGCAGCGCAGGACCAGCAGCAGCAGCAGCAGCAGCAGCAGCAGCAGCAGGACCAGCAGCAGCAGCAGCAGGACCAGCAGCAGCAGCAGCAGCAGGACAGCAGCAGCAGCAGCAGCAGGACCAGCAGCAGCAGCAGCAGCAGGACCAGCAGCAGCAGCAGCAGCAGCAGTAGCATGGGGACGAGTGCACCCCCACCAGTACCATAGAGAAGCTTGGTAAAACTTGTATCCCCCTCGACATAGCTTGATCAATATACCGATACCTTCCACTGATTGTTCTTTATAATGATGCTGCACAGGGTCGTCAGGAGGAGAAAAAGCAGGAGCAACAGCAGCAGGTAGAGAGGGAAGAACAGGGGAAGCAGCAGCAGCAGCAGGTAGGGAGGGAAGAACAGGGGAAGCAGCAGAGCAGCAGCAGCAGCAGCAGAGCAGCAGGTAGAGAGGGAAGAACAGGGGAAGCAGCAGAGCAGCAGCAGCAGCAGGTAGAGAGGGAAGAACAGGGGAAGCAGCAGAGCAGCAGCAGCAGCAGCAGCAGGTAGAGAGGGAAGAACAGGGGAAGCAGCAGCAGCAGCAGCAGCAGCAGGTAGAGAGGGAAGAACAGGGGAAGCAGCAGAGCAGCAGCAGCAGCAGGTAGAGAGGGAAGAACAGGGGAAGCAGCAGAGCAGCAGCAGCAACAGCAGCAGGTAGAGAGGGAAGAACAGGGGAAGCAGCAGAGCAGCAGCAGCAGCAGGTAGAGAGGGAAGAACAGGGGAAGCAGCAGAGCAGCAGCAGCAGCAGGTAGAGAGGGAAGAACAGGGGAAGCAGCAGAGAGCAGCAGCAGCAGCAGCAGCAGCAGCAGGTAGAGAGGGAAGAACAGGGGAAGCAGCAGAGCAGCAGCAGCAGCAGGTAGAGAGGGAAGAACAGGGGAAGCAGCAGAGCAGCAGCAGCAGCAGCAGCAGGTAGAGAGGGAAGAACAGGGGAAGCAGCAGCAGCAGCAGCAGCAGCAGCAGCAGCAGCAGCAGCAGCAGCAGCAGCAGCAACAACAACAACAACAACAACAACAGAACCAGCAATAGCAACAACAAAAGCAACAATAACAAGAGAAACAGTAGCAACAAAAGCATCAATAACAGCAACGACAGCAGCAGCATGTGGATATACCTCTGATGAGTTCCCAGAGTTTTTCTACTCCCAGAACCCGGCCTTGGGCTAAGCTCATCTGGTGCTCGCTTAGTCAACCAAGCTGTTGCTGCTGGTGGTCCGCTGAGGGCAAATTTAATGAAAACAAGAAGATGGGAACACGAGGCACAGAGCTCTCGTGATATTTACCTTAAATGGGTTATTTAAGAGTAAGAGTTCATAGAGAGGGAAAGATGAGGCTATTAATAACTATGAAAAACTACACACATGTGCAACATCTGGGCATCTTAATGGTACCATAAAGATAGCCACATGTTGCATATATGTCTAATTCTTTATTTTGTCGGTATTGTATACCATACATGTACATTAATAATTATGTTTACAAGGGAAGGAGAAAGAAACCTGGAATTGAGAAGAAATTTAGATCTGAGGGAATCTCACAATATCGACACAGTCTGTCAGAAAAGCTTGGAGTGGAGAGGGAAATAGGAAAAAGGAGAAGGAAACGGCAGAGGGAAGAAACAGGAAACAGACCACCTCTCTAGGATGAGGCAAATCAACATGGGAGAGGTGTTCAGAAAAATGACCCAACTCCTGGCACACTCCTTGTCCAGTGTGTCCTGATACACTCCTTGTCTTGTGTCTCCTGATATACTCCTTGTCTAGTGTCTCCTGATACACTCCTTGTCCAGTGTCTCCTGATACTGGACAAGGCAGTGGGACCAGATATCTCTCCGTGGGTCCTGAGAGAGGGAGCAGAAGTACTGTGTGAGCCACTAGCAACTATCTTCAACAAGCCAGTGAACAAAGGGCAATTGTCAGAGGTATGGAAGAAAGAGGACAGAAAACGTTAAACTACAGGCCAATGTCTCTGACATACCTGGTTACTTGGAGGTTACCTGGAAGCTATTCCGGGGATCAACGCCCCCGCGGCCCGGTCCATGACCAGGCCTCCCGGTGGATCAGGGCCTGATCAACTAGGCTGTTACTGCTGGCCGCACGCAGTCCAACGTACGAGCCACAGCCCGGCTGATCCGGCACTGACTTTAGGTATCTGTCCAGCTCTCTCTTGAAGGCAGCCAGGGGTTTATTGGCAATTCCCCTAATGCTTGATGGGAGGCTGTTGAACAGTCTTGGGCCCCGGACACTTATGGTGTTTTCCCTTAGTGTACCAATGGCGCCCCTACTTTTTATTGGGGGCATTTTGCATCGCCTGCCCAGTCTTTTACTTTCGTAGGGAGTGATTTCTGTGTGTAGATTTGGGACATGCATAGTGTGATAGGTTATGGAGAAGATTATCAAGAATGATGAAGCATAAAGAAAGGAGTGAACTGTTACACGATATCCAGCACGACTTTAGGCGTGGAAAATCCTGTCTTACAAACCTGTTGTAGTTCTATAACAAGTTAACATAAGGCAGGAAAGACAAGGATTTGTCGACTACATATTTTTGGTCCATAGTCGAGCACAAGATACAGGTACAAAAGATAATGGAGGAGGCAGGATTAAAGACTACCTAACAGAAAAGAGACAACAAGTAATCGTCTGGGAAGAGGTGTCGGAATGGGCACATATCCCGGGTTGGGTTCCACAAAGATTAGTACTAAGACCAGTACAATTTTTTGTATAATGAACAACATGGCGGAAAGGCTCGCAGATAATGTGAAATTGAAGAGGAGAATACCAACATGTGAGGACCAGGAAAGACTACAAGTGGAGAGGCTGCAGTTCTAGTCTGAAAAGTGGCTACTAGAAATTAACCCCCAGAGGTGAGCATTGTACCGAGCATATCGCTTGAGGCGCACATCAACCAAATAACAGCTGCTGGGAATGAGCGTTAGGCAGATCTTAAGACTAGCTTTCGGAAATGTAAGGGAACTAAACCTCATGATGCTAGAGGAAAGTAGGACTAGTGGTGACATGATAACAACGTACAAAATACTGAGAGGAATTGGTAGAGAAGACAGGGACAGATTCTTCGAGAGGCGGGAAACAGGAAGACAAGGGCACAGCGGGAAGTTGAAAACACAGATGAGTCACTTGATGGTTAAGAAATGTGAAAATAGGCAAATTCCGAGGAATCTCTAAGTAAATCTCACAACCCCAAGTAAACTGGTTTGATTTCAAGGTGGAAAGGGTGGTTCCATTGCCTTGCATCGGAAGTACTTCACCAGCATTAAGGTTACATCCTTGAAGGA